GTAGTTAATTTTATGGATAGCTGCAGCAGTGATACCAAACATTTTATTAAGTAGTAGACTTTGTCTAAACTTTTCATTGGATTATGCTACATGTACATAATGTTTTTACATAATCTTTTACACCCCACTCACATTAGGAGGTGGGGACCACAAGCCACCATTTTTAAACACACACATTGTGAGGGGGGTACACCATTCAGTACCCCCCATTCGGTACATCCGGCATTTTCCTAATGTCTTTAACAAATATTGATCAAATTTCACGATTGTCTTTATGTCAACTTATCTATTGAACGTTTTTTTTACAACTATTCATCAAATTTTCCAATTGTCTTTGTGCGATAATACACCAACTTCGAAAATCCTATATGTGCAATGGCAATGAAACCCCAAGAATTGTTGAAATTATACTTGTCAAATCTTTATAATGTAAAAAATAATATTCAAGTAAAGTATAAATTAAAGTAAAGTAAAGGATGTTAAACAAGGGTTAAACAAGCATTCCATAATATTAAACTTTTGATTACTGTTTTGGATCAGATTATTATCGGATATGGCATGTCTTAAGTCCTATAACCCGAGCATTGAAATTGTTCTCGGTGGGTAGGATAAGACTGTCCACTTATTGATGTGGTGGGAGAACTTTACTTACAATTTTCTCCAAATAGGCAAGATAAAACTTCACATTGTGTGCAATAGAACATTCTAATCCTGTTAAGGGATATATATTCAATATCGATAAATGATGTTGACACGGACTAATTAATAAAGATTTTGAGCTACTTCTCTTAATAAGGTTGACATTTTAAGATGGAATCCCAAATCTTAACATGGTATCGAGACCATTATACTCCAACGAGCGATTCGATCCCGCTAAGACTCTAAAATGAGCACGTGGATTTCAAGATTGGTCTACTCAAATGAGTCACCATCTTGCGGGGGCATGTTAAAGGATATATATCCCACATCGATAAATAATGTTGACACGGACTAATTAATAAAGATTTTGGACTACTTCTCTTAATAATGTTGACATTTTAAGATGAAACCTCAAATCTTAACAGATCCTGCCATACCCATTATTTTTTATAGCATGTCGCATGATTTTTTTCCGAGGCTCCCCAACCAAAAATCTGGCTTGTGAGCCAACCAATTATACACGACATCCCACTCTTTTACTTTTAGAAAACCTTGTTCGGTGTACATGGATTTTTTACTAGTGATTTTACAGATACACATTTGACTTATTCTCAATGGCAGTAGGAAAAAAAAAAAAAGAACAGAAAAAACTGCCAATACAAGACGGTCATTTCCCAGTAAACTATCACATGCCAATGTGATTTTACAAATAGCTTTATTGATAGTATTATGAATTGGATATGCTAAAATTTAGCCCTTGTTTGAATTCCATTTTGAAGAAAAAACGTATTTTAAAATAGTGATTTTTTAAAAAATTTGTGGTTAGGAAATTAAAAAAAAAGAAAAGAAAAGAAGTCATCAAATTACATCTAATATTATTTTATTGAGAAGTGTGTAGTTGAAAAAGAGTTTTTGTAATGATGGAACTCAAACAAGGGCTTAATCTGCTCTTGACATCTCCCAATTATTTCATCTTATCTATCAACTAATCGTAAATTTAGCTTCTCCTTTATTCATTTTTTTTGGATAATTGCTTTTCTTTCTTGATTAATCGAATATTATCTGCATTTACGATTTTACATTACAAACAAATTTATCTGAATGTTTTTTTCCTATTATTTAATTAGTTTTCATGTGTAATCTTATAAAATAAAAGATGCATGAATGAACAATTTTTTTTTATTCTTATCGTGAAAAAACTTGTGTTGTGTACTCGCGATTGTGCATGTACACGTAACTTATTTATTTATTTATAATAAAGATCTTATGTATAATAGACATGCTTTCTAAAAAAAAAAAATAATCTTTCTAACTCCAAAAATACTTTCTATTTTGATTCTTTATTTCACTTTATTTTAATAAATATTTATTGTTTTCATCTCATCTTTTATTTAACATTTTTTTTATAAATATCAACCAGCAATCAATTCAAATATGATTTAAATAATTTGAGAATAAGGGTATTGAACTATAACCATATAAATTTCATATTTTCATATGTTTTTGCCATATTATTGCATTTCAAAAGAAAAATTGAACTGAGATGCACAAGTGAAGATAAAATATTAATAAAAAAATTTATTTCTCGATAACACTCTAATATTTTGTAGTATCGTACACTAAAAAGCATCTTCAAGAGATTCTCTATTTTTAAAAAACATATTTTACAATTTATAAAGTATCTACAAATTTAGAGAGTAAAAACTTTTAAATACTTCAACATGCTCTACTCGATTTAGAAGATTTTGAATGATACCGATCAATTATCACTATTACACTTTGGCTACAGGAAAAAGAAGCTCAATCTTACTCCCGATCTCTTTTATTCAAAAAGCCCATAATAGTGTATTTGACAACATGATTTCCAATATTACACACGTTCTTCTCAAAGTCAGTATCATTCACTTTCTAAATTGAAAATGATAAAGTAAAAATACTAACTTATAATAATTACTTAGAAGTAAAAAAAATATTAACTTAAAATTTTAATAAATATTTAAGTGAAATATTAATTTGTATGTAAAAAAATTACATATAAATAAAATATTTTGTTCAACCTTTGATAACGGCATCATGACCTAATGAAAAGGTCTTCACTGATTAGGGTATGAAACCCACAAACTTCCAATTTCTTAAGGCACATTACTCAGAAGAAGAAAAGGAATAAAATATGAAACTCTGAAATCTAAAAAATTTCATTTCGCATAACGAAACTTTTAATTAAATAAATTAATATTTTATCATTTATTGTTTAGACAAACACCCAACCAATAGGTATGATGGTACAAGGAGTCGGGGACTGTATACAAACAGCATAACTTTGAGGGTTTTGCTTGGTGTACAGATTTTTAATCATTATTTCAAGTAAGTTTTGTCCAAAATACAGTACAAATGTATCCTATTTATGTCACTTTCAGTAAAAAATTTACTTAAAATATAAAAAGTGTAAAAGTAACTTATAATTATTACTTATAAGTAAAAAAATATTAACTTCAAATTTTAAATAAATATTTAATTTTTTAAGTGAAATATTAATTTATCTTATCTTATCTTACCTATAATAAAAAGATGAATGTGGAGGCGCTACAGTGATTAGTGTAG